AATATAAGCCTACCCGACACCAACCTGACTTCTACCAAACCCCAAAAACCCCAATCCGATGTTGGCCCGACATTGACCCGACATAAACGCAAAATTGACCCGACATCGACCCGACAGTTGACCGACGTCGACCATAAATTGACCTTGCATTGATCCGACATCGGCCCGACATATCTGTTCGGGATCATTCTTCTGGGTTTCTTCCATACTCCACTGCCGTATATCAATTGTATATAATGTCTCGTGACAGCCTTTTCGTGACAGCCACTTGGGTAAGCTGAGGGATGTCGTCGGTTTGTGAAGGCTGTTATGACGACAGAAACATTGAGAACCTGGTCATAAAGAAATGTATAAATACTGCCCATTCGGTTCACTACGTTCCAAGCACGATGATTTTAGCAAAGCGGGTATAGATGCGACTGTTCTAATACAGCTTTTATTCGTTCGTGCGTGCGCTGTTGCCAATACACTTCGAATTAAGATCTGAACGTACGGTAGCAAGCGGCAGTAAAGCACACAAAGCAACAGTCAATTCAGGTATAAACCAACTGTCGCGAGGAGGCTATACTATTTGGAAGCCTGGTCAGGACTATTGCATCGAACATAATCAAGGACGGACAAGAACAAAGTCGCGCCAACGAGAAGGAAATTCAAATTGTAAAGGAGCTAAAAAGTAAAACAGTATACTATGTGAAAGCAGACAAGGGCAACGTGATCGTTATCATGGACAAAGACGATTACGACAATCAAATGACAACGAAGATTAACAACGGACCGTATATACTGCTTCGAGTAGACCCCTTACAGAACATAGTGAAACGCGTGGAGAAAGCACTGAAAGAGGGCAAATCAATATTAGGAGATGGAGCAGGTCGTTTACGGGAATCCAATCCCATTCTACCCAGGATCAAAGGTCTGCGAATGAAATGCGAGAGATCGTGTCTGCAGTTGGTTCCCCCACCCACAAACTAGCGAAGTGGCTAGTCACAGAGTTCTAGAGTATGCCGAATCAGTTCCAGAGTAAAGCAGTTAGTAACATCCAGGAGTTTGCCCAGCAACTACAATCTTCAGGAGACATCAACGAGGACGAGATTATGGTATCTTTCGACGTCACAGCTCTTTTTTTCCCAGCGTACCGGTCAAGGAAGCGATCAACCATTTGGAGGACTGGCTATTAACACAACGACAGGATGCAGCATGCCTTCGTATGGAAGAGAACTACTTCTCTTTCCGAGGTAATTTCTACAAGCAGACGAAAAGAACCCCAATGGGAAACCCTCTATCCCCCTTCCTGTGTGAACTTTTCATGGCCAACTTGAAGACAATTCTGAAGGAGAAAGGACTATTACCAAACCGTTTGTGGAGGTTTGTTGACGATATCTTCAGCGTAGTTAAAAGGGAAGCCCTTCCATAAATTTTAGATCGGAAACTAGAATTACGATTTTCATAATATGTTACGTATGAACGAGCTCTGGAAATAGTTTCATACCACACGTATGGTATTCATAGCATACTTATGAAAATTATATGACTCAATACGGAATGCGTCTAAAATTCATACGAGGCTGCAATGAACTTTATGATTTGATCTTGTATCAAAAAAAAATCATACGTCATTCGTATGAAACGCTCGTATTCAAAACAAAAGAATATGGCCTACCAGCCGAAATTACTAACGTATGTCAAGAGTGATTTAATTTGGACGTAAATTGCTAGAACAAAACGTCGATGTCACTTATTTGAGCCTTGGTGAAAATAGGCTATTTTTTGATAATTTGGATACCTGCCGGTAATCAGCCTGTTTACTGTAATTACTATAACAAAAACAAATTATGGGTACGCCTACAAAAATCTACATTAAAAAACCTTCAAATTGACGTTCTAAGATCACGAAAAGCTTATTTGGTTGTGGTTTGTCTTCTGAAAGATGATCAAAAACGGCGTTTGTTCAGAATGCCAAAATAAGCGTTTTGGCCAAGTTTGGTTCAAATCAGTGACATCGACCAAAGGTGGTGTACCCACTTGAGCTGGTGGAATGACCCATATATTATAATTACTTTTTGAGTGATGTTGATTATAACACAAAAAATCAAAAACACCGCTCCAACGTTTAATTTTTCGTTGTTTATAAAATAAATGTGAATTTAAGATTCCAATGTGTTATGAGAAGTTATTAGATTGTTTGTTTCCATGTATATAATTAATTTGCAAGAAAAAACAAACACCAGAATGCACAGGAATAGCTCCAATGAATTGCATAGATGATTCGATTGCATTTTGTATTGCTCTAGTTTCTAATTCACGAACGAAACGCAAATTTTATAATCATAACGTATCATTTTCATACGACACACTTATGAAATTTATATTTGTCTATTGAAAAAACATAAATGATAACGGAGGTGTTCGTTCATATTTCTATCGTATGAAATTCAAAATATATTCTTTTGGTTAAATTCCATAAACATTTCGTATGAAATTCAAACGAATTATTTCCTCAGTGTATGAATTTGCTTAGAACTGTCCTCAGAATTTAAGTCCCATGAAATTCTTCTCAAGCTTGCAAAATGCTCATTACAGCTAAAATGCTATTTTTCGGATTTATGAAGCTATGAGATATTTTAATGATAATTCTTATTAACAAGATGCAAGAAGAGATGGTAAAGTGTGTGTATGACACATAAAACATGTCAATTTAGCTTTCAGAGGGTCACAATAGCGATTAGCTGTAACGATGAGCAACGCGATGAGGGAGCAATCAGCGATCATAAAATCGCTAGTTGTGACCTTTTGAAAGCAAAATTGACAAATTGTATATGTCATACACAAACTTTACCACCTCTCTTCTTGCATCTTACAAATTAAAATTATCATTAGAGTATCTCATTGTTTCATAATTACGAAACATAGCATTGTAGCTGCAATGAGCAATTGCAAGACTGATTCTTCTCAGTATTCCCTTGAAAATCTTAAACAAATTTTCATGGAATTAACCTTCAATTTCCCATAAAATATTCCTCTGAATCACATTCAAGATTTCAAAACTTCGTTTTAATTTTACCTGCAGGGTGCCCAGAGATTTTTCATTTTGAATTTTTTTGGTTTTATCGGTTTATAATATTCCGAAAAAAACGACAGGAATCAAATGACCAAGTACAAATTGTTGTAGTTATTTGTGGGAAAAGAGCAGTTCCACTGAGTTTCGGAAATTCCTGGAATTCCAAGAGTAGGAATCAAGGAACTCGGCAAACTCGGAATACCGGAAACAAAATCAGCAATGCAGTAACAGTAACAATTTCGCAAAACCTCTGCATATGCTTTTAACACGCAAAGTTTACGAAAATCATCAGCCATTATCTAATATCTCAGCCGCTTGGTAAACCTCCAAGGATGAAATCTCTAATGGCTATAACATTCTCATTAATAGACTAATTCCAGGCTAGTTCCCCTAATGCAGTGCCATTAGACAGTTTCATGGTTTCCAGTCGCCCCATCGCTGCCAACTAGGAGTCAGAAGCCATTAAGCATTAAACCGTTTTCCCTTATCGCACCATTCTTTTTGCTTGGAAAATGATCCACCATTCAACGTAACGATATAGTCCTATCTACTGCTCTGATACTCAAACACGTACCTCCCTCAATCTCCGTGCTGTAGTGGACCACGGGATTGCATGCATGGTAATAACCGTTACGACCACCGCACATCTCTTGATAAAAGTAAAAAGAAAATAGCGATGCTTTTCGTTCCGAAAGATATTCACGTCCACGAAAGACGCCAAGATCCAGCCCAGCATGACGATGAAGCCGTCTGCATCAAAGTGCTGGACTACAGCGTACACTTACTGCTATAGTTGGTTGGCGTCGTCGTCAACGTTTCTACATTCATTGCAAGCAAATTGGATCTAATTTATTCATAAGAGCGAATGAAGCAGATCCCAAAAACTAGTGTGTTCGGTGAATTAATTTGCAGTCATTGCAAGTAATCATCATCGTCCTGAAATACGTACATAAAGAGCCGCCAACGTAGACCAGCTGGCTACGGATGCGCCGGTTGATACTGGCTTACTTGCGGGTTCCGGATCGTAACGGTTGACAGCGGTCGGCGGTAACTCCACCATATCATCACCATGTTCATGGGGTCTCGTACATGTTATCATCTTGCAGTGCGGCGCGCATTTTTAACCATTCATGAGAAACGGCCAGCACTCTTTACTTACACGCACCGAGTTGTGTGTTATCTCACACAAAGTATAGCACTTTATTATGGCCCCGCAATTGCTGCTGCTGGCAAATAAATCGGGCAAGACGTGCGAGAATGTGTGTCTACTCATATAAGTCGTCCGGCACGCGTATCAGTCAGGGCAGGAAGACAACTCAGGCGAGGGCGCGGGCGCGGTGCTTGCACCAGCAGAAGTATATCAACACTGGCTACCTATCATCCTACCCGACACGGGTGATCACGCTTTAAGGTGGCTTTTCACGTAATAAAATAACAATCGGATTGCCGCCATGCGCTGTGATTTATCAAGAGGGAATGAGCTGGATGGATTTACTTGGAAAAATTGATTGTAGCTTGGCCAGCTCAAAAGCTGTTATGATTTACATGCAAATCAAAACTAATCGTAGCTACAATTAACAAGTTTGACCAACCAACTGACCAACTGAGGCTTTTTTTAGATTTTGCAAGGAGCACAGTATAGTAATTAATTCATTCTCCATGTCGAGGCATTTTTCTAATAAATTGGACAATTTGTTTTTAAGTCGCCGAATTTCCATAACTATCTTGTGTGTTTTGGTCAAGAAATTTAATAGCCGTTGCTCCCTCTATGGTGGTACTGAATCGACGCCATTGAACAACACCCATGTACTGAATGCAATTTACTAACATATGATTAATATTCAACCACTGGAACCGAGCTCCTCTATTATTAAGCACATCCCTTATTCATCAATCACCTTCCAATACACTCGTTCACTAGCAAATCCAAAGCCACACTCACCATGATTCTTCTCGTTCAGCAGGGACCGGGTGGCGGGCAGGAAGATTTCCATCAGCTCCGGTACCCGCTTGATGATTCGAAATGCACAAAGCGCCGCTTTTTTCCTAATGTATGCATTGGGCGAGCGCATCAGTTTCTCCACCTCGCCGGCCAGATCGCGAGCCATCTCCGGAGACGCGATAGCTCCCAGGGTACAAAGCGCCAGACCTACCACGAACTGTGTCGTACTGTTCAGGTCACTGTAATGGATGAAAACAAGTTGGAAATCGATTGCCAAAGATTACCATACCCTGCATACTCACTTCTTCAAACAGTTGGTAATCAGCAGATGCACGTCTTGTCGTTCGTCTAGCAGTAGCATCGCTCCGAGGTAGCCGATCCGTTTGTCTGTGAAGCGGGGACTGGCGGTGAGCTTGAGACACTCGAGCTGGCCAAAATGCGCCGGATAGCCGAGCATGTGAATGTACAGGAGTTTGGCAATGTTCCGACATCGCCACACGGAGTCCTCCTCTCGGAATGTACTACGGATATAGGCGCATTCGCGGTTCACGACCGCCCGTTCCTCAGCGGCCGTTCGGGCGGCACGGATCTGTCGGATGAGGTCCCGCAGGCGGGTTGGCGTCGGGATGCGAACTGTTTTGAGAAGAGCACCAAAGTCTAACGTTAAAAGATATCAGTCGGTGGTCGTCACATAAGCACACATACACAGACAGAGAGCGGAAATTAATGGCACAGATATCCTATGTAACTTATAGCCTGATTTGAGACTCACCTCGTTCTATCGTTTCATTGATCGCCTGCCTTATGGTGGCCATGTTAAATGCTGGATTGAACCTGCGGGAGAAAGTAGACAAACAGGAATAAATTAATCTCCAGGTGTCAATTTTTGCCAGCCAACTGGCTTACTACTGTAATTACAATCAATCTTGATTTTTCCCTCCATCGATAATCTGTAGGACAGTGCGAAAGCAAAGTCAGTTGACACATCAACAACCTTTGGTGCCCTGTGGCAGCTATCGAACTGATGGCTCGAACACGTAGATTGTCTTTTCCCAGGCCGTATCCATGTGCTTATCGTCATAGCGGAGAAAGCAGCGGGCAGGAAGTCTTTACTGTTTCGTACCACCAACGTGCAACACAAATGACGACATGATGAGTACTATTGCAAGCAAAATGTGGTGGCAAATAACAAGCATTCATGGTGGTTAGGAAAATGAGCGACAATAATTAACGTTGTCGTGTTGCTGCAAAACGATGGATATGCCTTGTGGCTTCTTCTAGCACAATAAGGGGTGACAGCATGGATTAATGGGTCAATTATAGTGCCTAATCTTTCAGTCAAAGGTTTGGAATAAATCGCGAGGGTCTGTTGCAACAGTTTTTAGGGGCATTTTTTACAGGAACAGAGAAAAATGATCACCAAAAATTCATTTTAGGGGAAATGGCTCTTATGTTGGCCTATGGATCTAAGATTGGGCCCATCGCTAAAAACCTGCTATTTATCATTTTTATCTAGATGAACGCGTCATTGGGACGGTACTAATGGATATTTTTGGTCGCTATTGAAAATTTAGTCGATTGCTGAATTTATGTATGGGCCCAAATTAGGGCCATTTAGGCCGACATTACATCCATTTCCCCTATGTCGGTTATTTATTAATCTCAGACTTGCGCCATCTTTCTTACACACTTTCATCCACTCTTTTTCTAATCCTTGACGTTTTTGAAGACCTTCCCTGTTTTCCGGAGCTTGCCCTTCATAATCGCTCAGCATTTTTCTATTGGGCGAAGTTCTGGCGAGTCTGGCGGATTTGCCTCCTTCGGTACAAAAACAACATCGTTGACTTCGTACCACTCCATCACCGGTTTCGCGTAATGGCACGATGCCAGATCCGGCCAAAACAGAGTGTCACCTTCGTGGGACCAGAGGAAGGACAGCAGGCGCTTCTGGAGGCATTCTTCTTTATATATTTGGCCGTTGATGGGACTGTCGTTATGTACGGCTTGCTGAATTTGCCGCACCCACAGATCGCCTGCCACACTAAGTACTTCTTGGCAAATTTGTCGACCTTCTTCTTCCGGAACATCCAGGCAGGACTTGTCGACGAAAAACTCCAGGCCGGGGATCTGCTTGGCGTCCGCTTTAATGAACGTCTCGTCGTCCATTACGATGCATTTCGGTTGCACCAACCACTCGCGGTACAGCTTCCTGGCGCGGGATTTGGCCGCCGTTTTCTGTTATCAGGCACCTTCCATACCTTGAAGACATGAATTCCGACCCACTTCATTGGTCACGTCCCGAATCGAAATGTTCGGATTGCGTAATCCCTCGTCTTCCTTGCGTTCGCGGGTCGGTCGTTTTCGCTTTTCTTCCGCTGCCAGCTCTCCGCTGGGTCGTCTGGGTCTCCTTGAACGATTTTACTACACGGAACACGGTCGAATTGCCGATTCCATACTGTTTCGCGATCCACCTGTAGGACTGGCATGGATTTTGCACGACCGCTCCCATAATTTGTTGTCGAAGCACTTCTTGCTTGGAAACCATCTCGGTAACCACTTGACAGATTGTGACGAGATTTTGCATATGTAAACATTACACTCTAAACTAGTTAAAAAAAACATTTTACTCATTCTATGAGTGACCTACTTTTTTTGCGAATTTGAGTGAACGATACTCAAATATGAGTCAGATTCATTTGCCGTGTAAAGCGTTCTTCTACTAGATATGTTTATAAGCTTTCAGGGAAAAATATGTAAGAAGAAATCAATCAGATAATACTTACTTAAATCACCCATTTTGGAAGGCGTTAAATTTTCAAAATGACGCTTTTAAAATTTTCAAAAAATTGTAGCATGGAAACGGCATTTCCGACAGAAATGAAGTCTGAGACAAAGTTGTAGAGAAAAATAATGTCTTTCTAGGAAAAATAAACAAAAAATGTTTTTTTTTGACTTAAGTTAAAATTAAAAAAAAAACGGATATCTCAAAATGTCATTGCCGGATTCTGGAATTTTATTTTTTAAATAGCTTATAAAAATGCGAAATTTTGGAGTGTTTAAAACCATGGACACTTAAAAATGCATATGATTGACACTTAAAAACTTTCAAAAATCGTAAAACAAGAACTTTTGGTAAAATTTTAATACTTTTTGTTAGTACGCTAAGTATTGTGTACCATTACACAGTGGTCCAGAATGCAGATTTAGGTGGAAGGATATGTTTTGAGCCTGAAAATGAAACTTTAGACTAAAAGTCTATTCTACAAAGTTTTTTCTTCGGGGTGTCGACTCAAAGTCGAAAATAAAATTCCCTGACTTTCCCTGACTTTCCAGTCGTTATTTTAACCTAAGAAGCTACAACGTGATGTGCTTTATTATACCGTAGTGTAAATTAAGGTTAGTTTAAAATTAGCAGCAGGGTAAGCTTTCGAAGATATCAAGAATAGCATACTCATGGCACGTACAACAGAACTTGATACTAATACAATTTTTACAAAACATATGACCCACTATCTACGAAGGATGTGAATATGCCTAGGGCTATAAATACATATTACAATATAATAATGAATAACTACTGCTCACAACTAGGCTCACTATTCATTACTAAGTAATAATATGAATATTTAATCAATGTCACCAAACTCTCAATTTGTGTTCATAATTTCACAGCCAAATACAAATCATCCCGTAGACGATCCATTGTAAAATAACAGAGCAGTGATTATTCTTGCTTTGGCAACCGAACCTGAGGATGCACTGCTCATGCATTAGTCAGTTTCGTACTCTCTGGAACTCCATATGACAACCACAGACATGGCAAAATAATTTAAGTTTAATTATCATTAACATTTTATTCTCTCGGTGAGTTCACATTACAACGAGAAATTGCAAGATGAATTTGTGTTTATTTTCATTTTCAGATTACTTTTAAAAATGTTTATCATTTGAGCAGAACAATTTTCTCCTGCAAACTCTCGGCTTCTTTTTGAGCATCTTGAGTTTTCGGAATCGAGAGCTTCTTTCATACGACGATCCTTGTCTACATGGAAAGCGAATGAGATTTTTCGAACTCGCTGAATAAGTTTATTCAAAATTTTTACCAACCCGCCTGCATGTGTAACACCATCATAGATCTGACGTTGCGCTACGACTGAAGGCCCAAACGCAATGTGGGCGGAAGCGGAACGGAACGGAAAGTTTGACAATTGTCACAAATGACATCAAGATGCCTAACCGCAGTCGATTTGATTCTAACTAGTTTTCAATCCGACAAATAGGCTTTTTTTTTCCTCTGTTCGGGACCAAACACTACTGCGACCAGTAAATTGATCTATTGTAGTATATCCCGTGTCCTTAATTTAGTGCATGTCGTATTACTCCATCACTATTGAGAAATGATGAAGTATTCGATTTTTTTACAGTTGCCACTCTTGCATTTATCGCAAGGATCCGACTCTAATTGAAAGGTCCCGCTATTTATACCCTTCGGAGTGTTGAAACACCCTCCAAAAGCGCGCCCCTTTGTCAGTCAAAATTGGATTCCTTAGCAACAAAATTAAGGTATGACACCGATAATGACCATGCATCAGAACCCTAGTCTTAACCACTTCAAACTAGGGAACAACGAATAGAAGATTAGGAATCACATAGATGAAGACAACTAACTCATTTTTTTTCCTTGTTTCAAGATCATCCTCGGTAGACAAAGCCGAGTCTTGTCACTATCAACAAGGCATAAAAAAGTAACAAGGACTAAGATGTGTTCCTTGGATTACTGAAAAATCCTGTTCCCCTAGTTTGAAGTAGTCAGGACTAGGAATCGGTGGTAGATCTTACATCCTGTAACGTACCACGAAAAGGTGATCTACCCACGTTACGGGGCCGACAAATAGGCTTACTCAGATCGGGCTTTTCCGCTACCACTGCCGTTCCACTGTCATTGCGCTTGGGCCTTGATAGGAAAGTCCTCATGTTTTCACAAAGATATTCTGCATTTACCGAAAAACCTCTCTCTGCATTGGCGTTGCCATGCGATAAGCAGCAAATCATTTTCACAACCAACAATAGTTCTAAATACGCCGACCAATAACCTGTGCCAAAAAACGTCCAGTTGTTCCTTTTTGCGATCTTATTGATCAAATGTGCATTTACCTGTGCAATATTGTTCAGATAATCAATATTAATGAACCTTTCCATAATGCCTCTAACCATTTGAGACATCGCGTTGCACAAAAAAGACACCATAGGGTTGTCCGTCTGAAATTCGCATTGAAATGGCTTAACTTCGACACCAACTGATTTGAAGAAAGCTAGCTTAATACCACGTTCAGACTACTACAGAGTTATAACATGTTATAACGGTTGTCAAATAATTGCAACACAGAAATCACCATCAAGATAGTGCTATAACATGTTATACATCTGTAATCTGAACTTACTATTAGCCATCAGCAGCGAGTCATTCAAACCGTTTTTAACATCTTGGGAGGAAGCTGACGTTGATTGGATTTTGTCTTTCTGGACGCCTTGAATAAATTTTCGTATTTGCGGAGTAATTTTGCCCTCTGTAGGGCTGGTAGCGATCACTGCTGTCAGAAATAGTGATTTTAGTGACCATGTTGAATAAATAAGTGACCAAATAGTAACTTAAAGTTGTAAAAATAGTGACTAAAAAGTGACCTAAGACCTAACACTTATGTACGATATGAACCTTCAAAGCGACATATTCAATAGAAACTTTATAACCAAACCCACGGTATTAGTCACGGTATCTATTAATTTCAAAAATCTGGAAAACCGGGAATCTTCAGGAAATTTTTTGTTTCCCTAAA